TCAAGGTAAAGTGGAGGCCAAGAAAGTGGCATATCTGAAGCTTCTGGAGAGCGTGGATGAGGAGGCGAAGAGGACGAATAGGGAACGGTATAAGATGGCTAAGAAGGAAGCGAAGCTAGCAGTTATTGCGGCCAAGACCGCTGCATTTGAACGCTTGTATGAAGAACTCGAAGGTAGATGATGGGATAAGAAGTTGTACGGGTTAGCCAAGGTGCGAAAAAGGAAGGCTTGTGACCTGGACCAAGTGAAGTGCATCAAGGACGAGGACGGCAGAGTTTCGTTGCATGAGGCACTGATCCGGCATAGATGGCAGACTTACTTTCATAAACTCTTGAACGAAAAGGGGGATAGGAACATTGAGATAGGCAACTTAGAACACTCTGAGTGTCGTTGGGACTTTGGGTATTGTAGGCGTATAAGAGCTGAGTAGGTTGAGGGAGCTATGTGTAAGATGAGCAGGGAGAGAGCGACCGGCCCTAACGAGATCCCCATTGAATTTTGGAAGAGCGTGGATGGGGCGGGTTTGGAGTGGCTCATTGGGTTATTTAATGTCATTTTTAGGACGACGAAGATGCCCGAAATATGGAGATAGAGTACGATGGCCCCGTTGTATAAGAATAAGGGGGATATCCAAAGTTGCAACAACTACCGGGGCATCAAGTTACTAAGTCATACTATGAAAGTCTGGGAGAGGGTGGTGGAGCTGAGGTTGAGGAGGATTGTGGATATTTCTGAAAACCAGTTCGGATTTATGCCAGGACGTTCGACTACAGAAGCTATTCATCTTGTTAGGAGGTTGATGGAACAGTATAGGGAAAGGAAGAGGGATTTACATATGGTGTTCATCGACCTAGAGAAGGCTTACGATAAAGTGCCCAGAGGTTCTATGGAGATGTTTGAAGGCTAGAGGTGTTCCTGTTGCTTACATTAGGGTTATTAAGGATATTTATGATGGAGCTAAGACTCGAGTGAGTACCGTGGTAGGGGACTCAGAACACTTTCCAGTTATAATGGGGTTGCATTAGGGGTCAGCCCTCAGCCCATTTCTATTTGCCTTGGCTATCGACGCGCCATATACAAGGAGAGGTGTTGTGGTGCATGTTATTTGCAGATGATATTGTTCTGATTGACGAGACGCGAGGAGGTGTTAATGGGAGGTTAGAGATTTGGAGGCAGATCCTGGAGTCTAAAGGTTTCAAGTTGAGTAGGACCAAGACAGAGTACTTGGAGTGCAAGTTCAGTGGGACAACTCAAGGTGAGGACGAAGAAGTGAGGCTTGATTCTCAAGTCATCCCTAGGAGAGACAGTTTTAAATACCTTGGGTCAGTTATACAAGGGAATGGGGAAATCGACGAGGATGTTACACATCGTATTGTGGCGGGATGGATGAAATAAAGGCTCGATTCAGGTGTTTTGTGTGATAAAAATGTGCCACCTAAACTTAAAGGTAAGTTTTATAGAGCGGTGGTCAGACCGACTATGTTATATGGGGCTGAGTGTTGGCCAGTCAAGAACTCCCATGTACAAAAGATGAAGGTGGCTGAAATGAGGATGTTGAGATGGATGTGCGGGCATACCAGGCTGGATAGAATTAGAAATGAAGTTATTCGGGATAAGCTGGGCGTGGCCCCTGTGGAGGACAAGATGCGGGAGGTTCAGACATGTGAAGAGGAGAGACGCAGATGCACCAGTGAGGAGGTGTGAGAGGTTGGCCCTGGAGGGCCTAACGAGAGGTAGAGATAGGCCGAAGAAGTATTGGGGAGAGGTGATTAGGCAAGATATGACGTTGCTCCAGCTCACCGAGGACATGACCATGGATAGAAAGGTGTGAAGGTTGAGAATAAAGGTAAAGGGTTAGAATAGGTAGCCTAGCATTGTCCTTGTCTGTAATGGTAGCTTTAGTACATGAGTTAGCGTTATTTATATACTTTCGTATTCTTTGATTTATGTGATTACTTGTCGTTGCTTTCGTTTCGGCCTTCTGATTACAATACTCACTTTTAGTTTTGTATCTTTGTATTTTTGCTTCGCTTTTATAACTAATGTGATTGTTGTTGCCCTTTCTTTTATCTTTCCTAAGCCGAGGGTCTTTCGGAAACAACCTCTCTACCTTCTTGAAGGTAGGGGTAAGGTCAGCGTACATACTACCCTCCTCAAAACCCACTTGTGGGATTAAATTGGGTCTGTTGTTGTTGTTGTACCACCTACTTTAACTACAGGGGATCACACTTGATCACATTTAAGAGTTGATAGCCATAGCCAGCAACAGTTAGACAAACTTCATTCTTACAAAAAAAAAAGTAAAAGGGCCACAAATAAAAACTGCAAGGGTATACCGGGAGAAGCTGTAATCACCTAACACAGACTGGCGATCCTCGATGTGAAGTAAAAAACTAGAGAGGAAAAAGGGGAGTTACATTCAACCACAATTTGGTGGACACTAGAAGGCATAAACCAAAAGCATTTAAGGACAAGCAATTGAAGGGGAGAGCACGAGGCTTAGAAGCTAACACAAATAGTGTGTGGAAGGCAATGGCATGTTACATTAAAAAAGTAACAAGTTAGTCCGAGGGCTTCATGACTAGAATCATGGTGGTAGGATGAGAACGTGCAAAGATTATTAAAGTGAAAAAAGAGTGGTATAGAAACTTACCAATAGCAAAAGATGGAGAAGCATTTGAAGAGTACATGAGAACAAAGATAGAAGCTAAGGAGGCGTTTAACGAGTCCCAGAGTAAGCTTTAAAAGTTTAATTCCAAAATTACAAACAGAAAAAGGAAAGTGTGAAATGTATAAGCTAACACAATTAAGAGAGTAGAAGGGTAAAGAACTGAACTAAACCAAGTGATTTTATATCACCAAGTTCTGAGAAAGAAATAAAGAGATAAAAGAAAGATGAAGATGCTTTTGATCAATTGCCCAATACAAATCTCGAGAACAAGTTTACAGACCTTCATACATACATCGTTGACAGACAAATTGCCTTTGTTATGGTCGTGGAATTATATCTAAGTAAAGGTTGTCATGAAAAATGTGAAGATCATTAGACTGTTCCGCATTGAATGAGAGAATAGGATGGTGTCTCTTTATATGGCTTTGGGCAATCCTTGCTTTATGAATTAGTTTTTTAGGTTGAGTTAGGCCCAAAATCCATTTTTTTAACATGCTATCAGAGCCAGAGAATCCTATCTGTGGTCTACCTGATTACGCCCCTATTCTATGTTGTCAACGCTCTGATGTTCAACACTGGGCCCCACATTGGTTAACGGAATGGTTGTTGTCTCCTTAAATGGTTTGGATGATCTGAAACTGTTATAGTCCAAATAGTCATAAGGTAGGAATGCCTGCTTCCCCAAATGAGCTAGCTTTTGAGGTTAAGTTAGGCCCAAGGTTCATTTTCATAACATGGAATCAAAGAAAGACCCGTTCCTATACTTGGTCTACCAAACGTTGGACCCTCATATTATGTTGTCCACACTCCAAAAGTTCAATGCTCGATTGTTGGACTACCTCAAATTGGTTAAGGGAATGGGTTGTTGTCTCTTTATAAATCTTGGACGATCTTCACCTCACGAGCTAGTTTTGAGGTTAAATTAGGCCAAAGGTCCACTTTCTTAAAGGTTACAAATACATGTGGTTCAAATGATACCCTATAGGAGGTGTTTTGATGGAGTAGTGTTGTAAATAGCGAGCGCTACGTCGCTAATAGCGTGTGGCGACGCGACGCAAGGCAGTATCGCCATTTTGCTCTGTTGCATTGCGATTCAGAAAAGGCGCGCGCCTCTACCTGTGTAGCGAGAGGTGCTGAGAGGTGAGTGGCGTTGTGAAGCGACGCTATTTGGAAAAAAAAAAAAAAAAAAAAAGGAAGAAAAGGCAGCGACCAACAGAGATTAAAATACAAGTTTAGGGCTTGGGTTTTTCACTTCTTCTCCTTTAGCGACCTTTTCTTAGCAACAGAAAAATTAGGGCTTGGGATTCATCTTGTACCATCATCAGCCATCAGCGACAGTAACCCAGGTATGTTTCTTTCTTTTCTTTTCTTCTTCTTCTACTTTCTTCTTCTTCTATTTCAGCGACAGTAACCATTGTTGTCTTCTTCTTTTTTTCTTCGACAGTTCGACTTCGACCATTGTTGTCTTCTTTTTTATCTTTTTCTTCTTCTTTCTTCTTTCTTTAGTGATCAACTCTTTCTTCTTTCTTTCTTCCTTTTTCTTCTTCTTGTCTCTTTTTTTGTGCTCTGTTTTTCGACCAGCAGAGCAGAGCAGAGGCTCTTTCCTTCTTTCTTCCCTTCCTCTTTCTTCTTCTCTTATATTTTTTTTTGGCTCTGTTTCGAGCAAGCAGCAGAGGCAGTAGAGTCTCTTTTTAGGCTCTGTTTTTTTTTTTTTGCTCTGTTTTTCGGTTATATACTTATAGTCTTATAGAGTAGAATTAATTGCATATTGACTTGATAATTTTTTTTCTATAAAACAACATTGAAATGGCGTCATCCGATAGTAATAAACGAAATGATATAGCTTGGAATAATGCTATACAAGGCTCATCAAGATCCGCAATTAAATGTGTGTTTTGTGAAAAAAACATATCATGGTGGAATAACTCGTCACAAGCAACACTTGATAGGTGGATTTAAAAATGTAGTACAATGTCCTCTTTGTCCGCCCAAGGTTAGGAAGGAAGTAAAAGCATTTGTTGAGAAGAAAAATGTGACAATAACTCAAATGAATTATGAAGCATCGGTGAATCTAATTGATGAAGATAATGAAATGGATGAAGATGATGAAATGGGAAACCTCCCCCCTCCCCCTTCCCCACAAAAAAAACTCAAAAGATATTTTCAAATAGTTCTAGTGGGTCATCAACGGCACGTACGGTGACAAAAGGTCCTCTCAATCTTTATTTCTCGGCAAAACAACAAGAAAAGGGAAAAGGTGATTCTGGTTCAGGTTTAAAAGCCAAGAAGATTTTTGAGGGATCGCGTTGTAAGTGCCTTTGCAGCATGGATGTACGATACAGGGCTTCCTTTCAACTGTGTTAACTATAAAACTTTTGATAAATTCATTAAGGCCGTAGGACAATATGGCCCAGGAATGAAGGCTCCTAGCTATCATGAAGTTAGAGTAACTCATCTTAAAAAAGAGGTGAAGAAGATAGACAAAATTATTGAGGAGCATAAAGTGGAATGGAACAAGTTTGGATGTTCCATTATGATGGATAAATGGACAGCACAGAATGGAAAAATGATCATAAATGTGTTGGTGAACTCTCAAAGAGGGGGTGTTTTTCTTGAATCTTACGATGCTAGCAACTTTTCTACGGATGGAAGCAAAATGTACAGCTTGTTTAGAAAGACTATTGATAAAATTGAAAAAAAAATGTTGTACAAGTTGTTAACCGATAATGCTAGTGAGAATATTAGTGCGGATGATGGAAGCTATGTATCCACACATTTATTGGACTCCATGTGCTGCCCATTGTATCAACTTGATGTTTGGTGACATATTCAAGGAAAACCCATATGCTTCAGGTAACTTTAATATAGTTATCTTTAAAGCTTTAACTTTATTTATACTTATGTCCTATTAAGTATTAACTATAAAATTGTTATTGTTACTTTTACAGTTTTCAGTAAGGCCGTCAAGATATATTCTTACATCATACATCAGTCAGAGGCCGTTGTTGTTGAATTTGATGAGGAAATTCACAAATGAAAGAAATTTAGTGAGACCGGCCAAGACCAGATTTGCAACGGCTTTCTTGACTTGACATAGTTTTTACTTGCAAAAAAAAAAACTTGAGAAAGCTAGTTCTTTCAAATGAATGGAAAGATAATAGATATGCAAAGGAAGCTGCGGGGAAAGAAACTGCCAAAGTTCTTATTTCTCCATCATTCTGGAATGATGTCGTTCGGGCTCTTAAAGTTGGCGGTCCTTTGATTAGGGTGCTTCGTATGGTGGACGGGGAGAGAAAACCACCAATAGGCTATCTTTATGAAATTATGGATAGAGCCAAAGAGACTATTGAAGCGTCATTTGAGGGAGATGTTAGGAAATATGAGAAAGTTTTTGAGATTATTGATAGCAGGTGGTCGAATCAACTATCGACCTTTGCATGCAGCATGCCATCTTCTGAACCCGGGATTATTTTACAAGAACACTAGAGATGACACTTTGGATTCAGAGGTGTGGGTTGGATACCATCAATGTCTTGAGAAGTTGGTCCCCGATTGAGCGATGATAGATCAAATAGGGGAGGAGTTTGGTAGGTACTTACAAGCATATGACCTATTTGGTTTACATGCGGCCAGTAGGGCCAGATACATAAGGTCGCCAGGTAACTAACTTTAATATAGATATCCTTATAGCTTTAATTTAATTTATTTGATTTATACTTATTAACTTTTAAAATATTTTTCTACAGTTGAATAGTGGATACAATTTGGACATCAAACTCCAAACTTGCAAAAGTTTGCCATCAAAGTACTAAACCTAACTTGTAGTGCATCTGGATGCGAGAGAAATTGGAGCGTATTTGAGCATGTAAGAAGCAGATTTATTATATTAATATATTCTATATCGTATTATTATTAGTATCTATTAATTAATCTAAACAACTTATGCGCAGATTGACTCCAAGAAAAGGAATAGGCTTGAGCTATCGTGTCTCAATGATCTAGGGTATATTGAATACAATAGAACATTGAGGCGACGTTATGAAGCTCGCGATACCATTGATCCAATTTTGTTGGATAATATTGACGAGGCAAATGAATGGTTAACCGGAGCCCCCCAAAATCATGAAGATGAACAAGTGTATGTAGGAGATGATCTTGATTGGGGTACTGTTTCTATGGTGGCTGGAGTTGAGGAGAATATCTATGGTCTTAGAGGGAGTTCTTCAAGTTCATATTACAAGGGAAAGGGAGTAGCAAGTTCAAGCCGGTCCCTAATTGATGAAGACTCCGAGGATGAAGAAGATGATAGCCAATATAATGCTAACATTCCTGAAGTTCTAGAATTTGAAAATCTTGAAGACGAATAGATGTTGCTTGTTTTAGACTTTTAGACTTTAGTTTATGAATCTACTATGACTATCTAT